TCGCCGGTCCCACGGTGGCCCACTTATCCTCAATCACCAGCTCCTCCCACTCCATGCCCATTCTCCATGGGTCTCTCCCCGCTTGCCTGAGCCGAGTTTCTCCGCGTGTTGTGCACCTCCTCGCCTCCTGCCGCTCCAACACCAGCCATGTTCCCGACCACCACTCCCGCTCGGCCACACTCTGCCTCGGCTGACGTCTACCCTGAGAGCCCCTCCGGCCAGGCCCGTCCGATGGGCGCCGATGTGTGCCTCATGCCGATGGGCGATCCGGCATTCACCCCCTCCGAGCAGGTCCCCCCCTCGCAGGCTCCCACCACCCCGACCGCCCCCCGTGCCCTGACCTATGCCAGCATGCCCCGGCACTCGGAGCGGGTCCTGGCCGCCGGGCCGCATGGCGCCGTCTCGCGCCCGGCCTCCCCCGATGGTGTTGCCCGCGTGCTCTTCCAAAATGCCCCCGGGCCTGCCATGCCCTCCAGCCAGGCGCCCCCGACCGGGGGCCAGTACCCGGCCAGCATGGTCAATGCCCCGGGCAAGCCGGCCTACCGGACCCCGGTGGCCTCGGCCCAGCCCACCCCCCGGACCCCGCCCCCGCCCTACACCGCCAACATGCAGATCGGCATGTCCATCAGCCCCTTCGGCGTGGGGGTGACTCGTGCCGCGGCTCTCGGTCGGCTGGCCGTGGCCCGGCGTGCCGGGCTCCTGAGCAGCCCCGCTCGGGCCCTCTGCAAGGCCCTGCTGATTGCCCCGGGGCCGCAGCGCCAAACTCCCGGCCATGCTTCTCCGGGCCATCCGATCGACCATGGCAATCTCATCGTCCTGGACCTGGACACCGAGTGTCCCGGCGAGATGCCGGACCCCTCAGGCCCCCACCCCCACCACCACACGGCCCTGCCTCGGAGCGACCGGCTCTTCCTGGATTCCAAGGGCTTCTTCTCGGCCCGGGACTGGGTCATCGCGGCTCTCGAGCACTTCCAGCAGCCGGAGGACCTGCCCGATTGTGCGGAGTCCCTGCGCGTGGTCTTCGCCACGGTCCAGGCCCAGAGCAACGCCATCCGGGCGCTGCTCGAGAGCGGGCACCTGCAGATCCGTGTCGGGGCCCAGACAGCCCCAGCTCCGGCGGCCGCCCCGGCCCCGGCCCCGGCCCCGGCCCCGGCCCCGATGGCCGCCGGCCCCAGCCACCCCGGGCCCGAGGCCCCGCCGCACTACCTCCAGCAGCTGGCCGACATCGAGCAGCGCCAGCGTGCGGCCCCGTCGCGCCCGGTCCCGGCGGTCGCCGGCTTGACCAGCCCCACCTCGGCCGCCACTTCCACCAAGCGCAAGCCGGTGGAGCAGCTGAACCCGGCCGCCGTGCTGGCCGAAACCGCGGTGGCCGTGGGCCCCGGGCCCCGGACCCCAGCCCGGGCCGACTCCCGCCGCGACGACTCCACCGTGGTGGTCTTCTCTCGGAAGCGCCATTGCCCGGAGAAGGCGGCCGACCCCACCGCCTCGCCCAGTCCCACTTGCATGGTCGCCCCCGCCGGGCCGACTAGTGCCCCGGCGGCTGCCCTTGCCGCCGAGAGCGACAGCGCCACCTCGGTGGCCGCCCAGGAGGACATGCCCGCCATCGGGTCACCCACCTGCCGGGTGCTCTTCGCCTGAAGGGGACCAGTGGGCCCGAAAGGACACCACACGGGTGTGAGACAGGACGTGTGCGCGCGCGCGCGCGGTGTGTGTGTGAGAGAGAATGCCCAGGCGCCCGGGCGCAAGGGCGTGTCTCCGCCCACCGAGACATCGTCCGCCGGTGGCAGGCCCGCCCCGATCCCCCCCCGCGGGGCGGGGACCTCCCGGCGGACAAGAACCGAAAACCAGAAACCCACAAAATAGATAGACAGCGAAACGAACTTGCCTGTGTCCGCGCCTCTGGCCTTCTTTTCCCCCTCCCCTTGCGCGGCTTTTTTTTTTTTTTCCACATTCACGCACATGTTCCCCCTACTCCCAGGGGGGGGGGAGGGGGGCGAGGAATGCACATTCAGGCGCCCGGTTGGGATGATACCCATCTCCAGGCGGCGGATGGGCTGCGGTGAGGACCCCTTGGACAGCCCGCCTTGTCGAATGGATTGTGTGTGTGTGTGTGTGTGGGGGGGGGGGGTGGGGGGGGAGAGGGGAAAACACCCGGCTGATGGTTTGGCCGTGCTGCGGTGCACCCATGTGTCTGCTCGCCAGGCAGAGGTAAGAGGGACGACGGTTTACTCGCGTGGCAACCGCCAGCTGTGTATCGATGGATGGATGGGTATCTGTGTATATGTGGTGTGTGCGTGTGTGCGAGCACATGCATATCGCAATGGGAGCAGCAGACACAGAGGGCACATGAAAAGGAGATAGGATGCTGGAGGGTGCGCGCGCGCGCGAGAAAGAGAGAAGGACAGAGAAAAGTGGCAACAGAAGGACAGGGGCCGGCGCCATCGAGCGGCAAATGTGCACACACACACACACGCGCGCGAGCGTACACACATGCAGCAACGCGCGACGCGTGTGCGCGCGTGACACATGCAGGCGCTTACTTCTTCTCCTCGGCCACCGGCTTGTCGTTCACCCAGGTCGGGGTGACGGCGCGCAGGAAGCGCATGAACTTGAAGAAGCCCACGGCGTGCTCGGTCCGGCCATCCGGATCGGTGACCTCCTGGGGGAAGGCAATGCCACAGCCATAGAGGCGCGGCACGGCGCGGAAGGTGCCGGTCTTGTGGTCGAAGTCCAGGTCGGTGAATGCCTGGCCGGAGGCGGCGTCCACCAGCTCCGGCAGGGAGTTCCGAGCGAAGCCCACCGCGAAGACGATCTTGGTCACATCGCGCAGGGTCTCCGCGTAGATGGCCTGCTCGTGGGCCAGGTCCGGGGTGGTGGCCGAGCGGTCCTCCACCACATTGTTGTGGATCATGCCGTCCTCATCGACATCGGCCCCAGGGGTGAGGCACACACGGGACAGGTTGGCATGCTTGCGCCAGTTGGCGGCATCCAGGTTCTGCTGGGCCCAGATGGCGGCCTCGCCCTTGAGACCGGTGTTGTCACGGCGAATCCACCCGTCCATGAACTGGGCGTAGCGCAGCGGCGACCGGAAATAGTTCCGGACCTCCTTGACGTTGGCGTGCATGAGGTTGCGCACGGCCAGCACGGCCGAGTGCGAGGACCCAATGACGGCCACCACGTCCTCCGGCCCGACGAAGGAGGTCAGCTTGGAGGGAGACAGGGAGATGTCCAGGGGAATCTCCCGCAGCTCGGGGTGCGCCGCGCTGAAGGCCGGCAGCGACAGCGGATGCGATCCCGACGCCAGGACCACACGCTCGGCCGCGATGGAGGCCGGGCCATTCTTCCCCGTCACGGAGGCAGACCAGGTGTTGGTCTAACAGGCGTGTGTGTACGGGGGGGGCGGGGGAGGGTCAGATTCTTGGATACCCTGCGGGGTTGGGGGAGGCCGGGGGCGGGTGTTGGATGCGGGGTCGGCTGCCCTTGCCCCTGTGGAGCCTCGGCATCCGGGTCCAGGCATGCTTCGGCGTACCTCGGCGTCGAAGGCCAGCTTCTCGACCGAGCCAAAGATCGGGCTGACATCGTCGCGCTCGCGCAGGCCGTCGGTCAGGAAGCGGACCAGCTCGCCGGCATGCGACAGCTCGCACCCGGTGTTCTGATCCATGGCCTCGAGCTTGGAGAAGGCGTTCTCGCCCTTGCTGGCCGCTTGAGCGATCACATCGCGGAAGGGCTGCACTCCGGTGGCGTACTGCACAAAGAAGGTGACCTTGGTGTTGCTGCGCGTGCGTGTGTGGAGAGGAAGGGGGGGGAGGAGAGGGGGGAGGTCAGAGAAGAGCCGATGGCCTGGCACCTGACAGGGGAGCCACGGGAAGCGGAGGGGAGGGGAGGGGAGGGGGGGGGGGGGGGGCCACGCACCTGGGAACCTCATTGTACTCCAGGGGGATGCGGCCGCCGGTGAAGAGCGGGTCCACCCAGGCAACCTGGGTGGCGCCGGACTCGAGAAGGTTGCCAACGGCAGCAGCACCGGCAGGGCCGGCGCCCACCACAAGGGCGTCAAAGGTGCGGGCAGGGGCGGCCATGGTCGAGAAGTGGCGAAGATGGGGGGAGGCGCGGAAAAGGCGCAAGGGATGGAGCATATAGGAGGGAGGAGGGCGGGCGAGGGGAGGGAAGGCGTGGGCGAGGGGGTGGGCGCTTGATGGAGAGCTATCTGGAGGGGCAATGGCAGGAGGCCAAGGGGCGCGCTGGGACAGGTCCCGAAGAAGGCCCGGGGGGGTAGGCCGATCCGGAGGCCAGCCACGGCATTTGATCGACCGGGACCGGGCCCGGGTCTGCGTGGAAGGGCCCCACAGGCCGGGTCGGAGGCACACAACGGCCGCCAGGCCCTTGGTGCAGGTGCAGAGGGCCGCGAAGGGGGGAACCCCGAGAGCAAGTGCATGGATATTCCCCCGGCCCCGCTGCCTGCTGCTGTGCGCCCTGGCGCCGAAGCTCCGGCGGAGGCACCCCTTCCTTAGTGCAGGGACACACGGATGCCGGCTCGCCCGGGGGCCGAGGTCAGTGGGACCAGACCTCGGTCGACTTGGATCCGAGGTGGGGGGTTCGCACATTGTCACCCGACGCTGGAGGATGACTCACGGGAGGGCGGGCCGGGCCGATGCATTCACCGGCTTGTTCACGGCCGTGAGGCCAGGACCTGGCAGGGGGACACACATGACCAGCCAAAGGCTGGCCAAAAAAAAAAATGCGAGTACCCAGTCAAGCCTGGGCGGCTGTGGCTGGCTCATCGGGGGAATGATGAATTTTCCAGCTGCCGCCACCGGGCATGAATGGCCGAGCGGGCGGGCAGAGAGTCCACCCAAGCGCGGTCCAGACGCCCGCCCGGCCGGAGCCGCTCACTTCCCCGGCACGCGCCACTCCTGGGGAGCCGGGGTCTCCCTGGCTCCCAACCGACCGAGAGCCCGGGCTCGGCATGCATTCATGCGAGGGACTGCCAGCCATCAAAAGGCGTACAACCATACAGAGGCTTCAAGCCCCCCCCCCCCCCCCGCGTGCTGGGGTCCTCGAACAAATGATTGCCCCCGACTGGCTTAATCATGCCGGCCGCATCAATTAACTTAACGGTGAACGCAGAACGCCGAGCCGGGCCTGGAAGAGCGCCCTCCGTCCAGATCTGCGTGCGCATGTCGAGAGTCTCTATGGAGTCTGTCCCATACCTCACTCGGACGGCTTGCGTGTCCCGCCCCAACCGCTGGTGGGTACAACCACGCGCGGATTCTGGTCCGGTCTACAATGGTGCTTTATGCTGTTTCCTCTAATGTTGTTACATGCTCTCGTGACCTCAGAACAGGCGGCCAGATCGCTGGCCGGCCTCCTCTGGCCAGGGGAAGCGGACGGCAACAACCGGCGGGTCCATGCACCGACGGACGCGGGCGCACCGGGCCTCCCCGAGCCGGGCGCCGCGCGACGGTTTGTGGCCGCCAAGCCCGCCTCCCGGCCCTTGCGCCCCCAGGGCGCCTCCCCATGATGTATGCGGGGGGGGGGGACAGTAGGCCGTACCCACACGTGGCGCTAGACAAACGGGCACACAGGCCGGGGCCCCGGTGAGGGTGTGCATCTGGCCGGTGGCCAGGCGGGAATCCTGCTGAGGGCTGTGCCTGCTCCCGAGTCCGAGCGCGTGCAAGTCTCGGCGCTCTTGAGCGGGACCAGTTTGCCTGGCCGAATCTGAGGGGCGAGCGGAGGGGGGCGGGGGGAGTCTCTGGAGCGACCAGCAGCGTCTGGTCCGCCTTTTCCAAGGGGCCCCTCTCGGTCATGGCTGGTGGTCCCATCTTTTCGCGCGCGCCGCCAGCCCTCGCCCGGCCTCCAGCCCCCCCCCCCCCCCCCCCCCCCCCCCCCCCCCCCCCCCCCCCCCAGAGAGAGCCCCTCCTGCTGGCGGTGGCCGCCACTCTGGCACTCCTCCTGCCACGGCCCAGAAGGGGAGGGCCGGCGGGGTGTTTCTGGCACCGGCGGTGCCCGCGGCACACCCCTCCATCCCACTCCCCTCTCTGCCCTCCCCCTTCTCCCCTCGCCGCCGCTCACGCCGCCAGCGCGCACGCGCACCCGCCCACCCACACCCGCCCACCCACCCCCACACGCCACCATGCCGACGATCTCCATCAACCGCGCGGCCCTCCTCGAGACCCTCGGCTTCAATGCCAAGGGTCTGACCGAGGACGAGAAGGACAAGGAGTTCGACCAGCTTTGCTTCGACTTCGGCATCGAGCTCGACGAGATTGTGCGCCCTTCGTGCCACGGGGAGGAGGGGGCCGACGGCCGGGATCGCGCCGAGCTGGCCCGGCCCGGCCCGGCACACCTGCCCGCCGTATTGCCGGGACTCTGCATTCTCTTCCTCCTGGTATGCTGACACTCCATCTCCCCCCCCCTCCCCCCCTGCCCTTTCCTCCCCTCCCTTCCTGGCCGGCAGACCTCCGAGAAGGCCATGAAGGCCAAGGAGCATGGCGCCACGGAGGCCGACAATGTCGATGCCTCCTCCGACGAGATCATCTATCGCATTGAGATCGGCGCCAACCGGTATGCTCCGCGGTGTTTCTTTTCCCCCGCCTTTCCCCCCCCCCCCCCCCATTTCCCGTCGGCCCTGACCCCCTCCCGTGCCAGCTACGATCTCCTCTGCTTCGAGGGCCTGGCCCGCGCGCTGCGCATCTTCCAGGGCAAGGTCAAGGACCTGCCCAACTACACCGCCGTCCCGGCCAAGGACGCCGCCTCGCAGGTGACCGTCACCGTCACCAAGGACGCTGTGCGCACTGCCCCCTCCCCCCCCCCCCCCCCCCCCCTCTTTGTTTCCCTCTTCCCCATGTGGATGAGTGCGCACTGCCCACAGCTTGCTCACATCTCTCCCTCCTCCCTTCCTCCCTTGCTTCATCACCACCATGACCTGGTCCCCTGTCGCAGGCCAACGGGCCCCGGCCGTACATCGTGGCGGCCGTCCTGCGTGGCGTCACCTTCACCCAGGCCAGCCTGGACTCCTTCATCGACCTGCAGGACCGCCTGCACCAGAACATCTGCCGGAAGCGCTCGCTTGTTGCCATCGGCACCCACGACCTGGACAAGATGGCCAAGGCCCCCTCCGGCGGGTATGCCATCACCTATGACTATGAGCTGGCCCATGTGGACGGCAAGCCGTCGGACAAGTTCCGCTTCTCGCACCTGGGCGCCAGCCTGGACAGCCCCATGCATGTGGATGACATGCTGCGGAGCTTCGTCGAGCCGGCCGGTCACCACCTGGCCCCGTATGTGCCGCTCATTCGCACGGCCGCCAACGCCGATGATGCCACCCGCCGGTTCCCGGTTGTCCGGGACACCGCCTGTGTCATTTCCCTGCCGCCGGTCATCAACAGCGAGCGTTCCAAGATCACCCTCGACACTCGGGACATCCTGGTCGAGTGCACGGCCACCGACCTGACCAAGGCCATCATCGTGCTGAACACCATGCTCTGCATGTTCAGCGAGTATTGCGCCGATGCCCCGTACACTTGCGAGCAGGTGACCGTCACCTACGAGTCCCCGGTCCCCGGGTCGCCGGTTGTCCGCGACACCGAGTCTCTGGTGCACACGTACCCGGACTTCGCCCTGCGGCCCTTCCGCACCACGGTCGCCTACATCAACAGCCGGGTGGGCATCGACATCGACGCGGCCGAGGCCTGCATGCACCTGCAGCGCATGGGTCTCCAGGCGGAGCACCTCGGTGATGGGCACCTGGCCGTCTCGGCCCCGGCCACCCGGTCGGACATCCTGCACGAGTGCGACATCATGGAGGATGTGGCCGTGTCCTTCGGCATCAACAACATCCCCCCGCCGGCGGCGCCGCCCACTGCCACGGCCGGCTCCGAGCAGCCGCTCAACCAGCTCAGCGACCTGGTCCGCCGGGAGCTGGCCTTCAACGGTCTGACCGAGGCCCTGACCTTCTCCCTGGTGTCGGCGGCCGAGAACAGCACGCACCTGTGCCCGGGCCCGGTGTCCGAGGAGGAGCGCCAGCGGCTGCTGGCCGACACCGTGATCCTGGACAACCCGGCCACCCGGGAGTTCGAGGTGGTTCGGACCTCCCTGCTGCCGGGGCTTTTCAAGACCATCGCCTGCAGCAGCCACCAGAACCTACCGATCAAGCTGTTCGAGGTGTCGGATGTCGTGCTGAAGGATGCCTCCATGGAGGTGGGCGCCGTCAACCGTCGTCTGGTGGCCGGTGCTGTTTGCTCGCAGGAGGCCTCTTTCGAGGAGGTCCATGGCATCCTGGACCGGGTCATGGCCATGCTGGACGTCAAGTTCGCCAAGAAGGGCGACGAGGCCAGCGGCTACTATGTCCTGGCGGATGATGGTGCGTGTTTGTGCGGGGGGCCGGGGCATGGTGGTTTTCTTCTTCTTCTTCTTCTTCTTTTCGCCCCTTGCTCAATCTCATTTCGTTCCCTCCGTCCCTGACATCGACGCCTGTCTCCGTCGCTCGCCGGCCCCGCTCGCACTGATGATGATGGGGAAAAACAAACAAACCCCACGCCCACAGACCCTGCCTTCCTGCCGGGTCAGTGTGCCAAGGTCATGTACAAGGGCCAGAAGATCGGGCAACTGGGTGTCCTCCACCCCCAGGTGAATGTCAACTTTGGCATTTCCTATCCCCTGTCGGCCTTCCAGTTCAACCTCGAGCACTTCGTGTAAAAGTAGTTGTCCCTTCCCCCCCCCCCCCCTCCCCTTCCCTCCCTCCCGGCGTACGCGGCGGACTGGGTGTGCGCGGACACACCCGCCTCAGTCCATGTCCATACACCGTGCGGCGCCGACATCATGCACTCCCCCTCGCCTCCGACCGTGAGCAGCCCCCCCGCTCCCTCCAAGAAAAGGAGGGGCCTGGTCCGGAGGTGCGCCCTTTGTCCCCTCCCCACTCACATCCAGAATATACACCCTATTTGGTACATACACCCCTGTGTCCGTCCCCGCTCTGTCCAGGGAAGGCCAGCCTTGATGCGCACACACCATTGCAAGATCTCCACATACACACACACATGGCAACACACGGAGTACGTGAGGGCGGCTGTATTTTGCTCATCGAGGACGCTCATCTGCGCGCGGCAGGCGACGCCGAGCAAACACAAACAAGACACTCACTCATGGTCACGAAGCAAACACACACGCGCGCACGGTCAGGGGGGGAAGAAGGCGGTGACGCCCGCGCACGTGTTTCGCTCGCCACGGCCCCCCCCCCCACCCCCACCCCCCTTCAGGGGAGACAGGAAGGGATGGAAAGAGGGAGGGAGCGAACGCCCATAGGTCGGGCCGTGGCTAGTGCACACACATACACACGCGCATTTACTTGGGGTGGATCATGTCCTCCGGGCGGACCCACTGGTCGAACTGCTCCTCGGTCAGATGGCCCAGGGCAATGGCGGCCTCCTTGAGGGTGGTGCCCTCGAGGTGGGCCTTCTTGGCGCAAGCGGCAGCCTCTGCGTGCGGCGAAGAGAGGGAGAGGAGACAGACACACACAGACAGACACAACGCGGGTCAGTGACATGGCCCGGCCTCGGCATGCTTTGCAAATAAGAGAAAAAGCCACAGCAGCAGACACTGCACGCACTGTCGTAGCCAATGTGGGGGTTGAGGGCGGTGACAAGCATGAGGGACTCCTTCATGATGGTGTCAATGCGCTGGGTGTTGGCCTCGATGCCGACAACGCAGTTGTCAGTGAACGAGTGGCACGAGTCAGCCAGCAGACGCAGGGAGTGCAGGAAGTTCTTGATCATGGACGGCTTGAAGACGTTGAGCTGTCGAGGGGGGGGGGGGGGGGGGGGGGGACATGTCAGTGGCTGTGGGCAGCATCGAAGTGAGGAAGAGCGCAAGAAAGCGAGAAAAGCACCCCCTCCCCTTCCGGCCGCTCGGGCGCGCTCCCCTGGCAGGGGGCACATGGCATACCTCAAGGTGGCCGTTGGAGCCGCCGACGGTCACGGTGACATGGTTGCCGAAGACCTGGGTGCAGACCATGGTCACAGCCTCGGACTGGGTGGGGTTGACCTTGCCAGGCATGATGGACGAGCCGGGCTCATTCTCGGGGAGGTTAATCTCGCCCAGGCCGCAGCGGGGGCCGGACCCGAGCAGGCGGATGTCGTTGGCGATCTTCATGAAGGAGGCGGCAAAGGTGTTCAGGGCACCGTGGGCCTCGATGATGGCGTCATGGGCGGCCAGGGCCTCGAACTTGTTCGGGGCCGTCTGGAAGGGGTAGCCGGTCTCCTGGGCAATGGCCGAGGCAATGGCCACATCGAAGCCCTTGGGCGTGTTGATGCCGGTGCCGACGGCGGTACCGCCCTGGGCCAGGTAGTACAGGCGGGGGAGGTAGCTCTTGACGCGCTCGATGCCGAACTCCACCTGCTGCACGTAGCCGGAGAACTCCTGGCCCAGAGTCAGGGGGGTGGCGTCCTGCAGGTGAGTGCGGCCGATCTTGATGATCGGCTCGAACTCGGCCGACTTGGCGGCCAGCGCATCGCGCAGCTTCTCCATGGCGGGCAGAAGGCGCTCGTGGGTCTCGAGGACGGCCGCGATGTGCATGGCAGTGGGGAAGCTGCGCGAGGGGGCGGGGGGGGGGGGGGGGGCGCGTCTGAACTCCAGTCACGGGGTAATCTCGTATGGGGTCGCATGCTGGGTTGTTGGGGGCAGAAAGGAAGCAACGAGCAAAGGCTCTTAGTTGGTGGCTGGCTGAGAGGCCGCCTCCGGGGCCTTTTCCGAGATGACAACCTCCTCAACAGTGGCGGCGGGGGCCTCCTCGATGGCAATCGGGGTGTCCTCCGCACCGGGGGGGGGGTACGGGGGTACGGGGGAAGGGGCAAACGGGAGACCACTGTCAGAATGCAAGCACACCATAACAGTGGCAGACACACATGTGCGTCTGGGCGGACATGTGTACGCATGCACACGGGCAGGGCGGCAAAGGGGACACGCAGGGCACCAGCCAAACAGGGGCGATTGACATCGACGTACGAGTCGTTGGAGGACTGGCTCTTGTTGACGTGGTCGTTCGGGTGAACCGGCGTCTTGGAGCCGAGGGTGCCGCCGAGCATCTCGATGGCACGGTTGGAGATGACCTCGTTGGTGTTCATGTTGGTCTGGGTGCCGGAGCCGGTCTGCCAGACAACCAGCGGGAAGTGGTCATTCAGCTTACCCTGGATGACCTCGTCGGCGGCGGCCACAATGGCGTCGCTCACCTCCGGCGACAGACCATGCTGGCGGTTGACCACGGCCGCGGACTTCTTCAGCACACCGAAGGCCTTGATCAGGGGGGCGGGCATGCGCTCGCTCGGGCCACCGATGTCGAAGTTCTTCAGGGAGCTGTGGGCCGTTACGGCCAGAGCCGGATCAACAAGGTGAGATGGCGGTCAAGATGGACCGTGTGTGTGTGTGTATCGGGGGGGGGGGGGGGGGGGCAGAACATGCGCGCATGTGCGCTCACGCACCGCTGAGTCTGGGCACCCCAGTACTTGTCGTCAGCAACCTCGACCGGGCCGAAGGTGTCATACTCGGTGCGCCGGGCGACGGCCGAGGTGCCGAAAGCCCGGGAGGCAGCGGTGCAAGCATGGCGCTGGGCGACACGGGAAACCTGGGACAGCATGGTGGTCTGGAGGAGGGCGGCGGCAATGCGGGGAGAGAGAGAGAGAGAGAGAGAGAGAGAGGAGGGGCGAGGGGACCAGGGCAGGCGAGGAGAGCGGTGAGCTTCGGCAGGGGGAGGATCGCGGGGTGCTGAGCGGTGCAGACGCACGGGTGGGGGCTTTATCGAGCGAGAGGCAAGCAGGAGGAGAAGCCGGGGTCGATGTGCATTTTCGGCCGGGCACGCGGCCGCCGGTAGAGGGCCCGAAAAAGCAGCCCCGCTGGATGCGCCCGGCCGGGGACCGGGGGTCGCGTATCTCTGCCCAGGCAGGGGGGCCGCGGATGCACCGACTGCCAAGCGCACGCACCGGCTCAGCCGCACCCACGCCCGCCCCAGAGACCCAGGCCCCGTCTCCTCCTCCTCCTCCTCCGGGACAGCCCCAGCCCCCATTGGGCGCCAGGGCGCCGCGCCTGCCCCCATCCCATTCTGCCCAAAGATGCGTCCAACCACCCGGCTCCCCGTGCGCGACGCACCCTCGCGAGACACCCCCCGCGCGCGCGCGCGCGCGCGCGCACGCACAGAACAACCCAGGGCAGGCCGCTCCCCCCGGCCACCCGCACACAGCCTCGGCCAAGGAAAACGAGAGCCGCACGTTTGAAGTCGTCTAATGGATGGTCGGTGACATGTGATCTGGTCAAGTGCATCTGTGACTGCCAGCGTATGGGCCGCCCTCCGCTTGCTATCCCCACAGCCACTTTGCTCCGGACAAAGCGAGACACAGGGGAGAGGAGGGACATTCGTTCCTGCATGTGTGTGTAGGTTCAAATGCAACTGCACAGCTGGAAAGACATCGGGCGGGCTCAAGGGCGCGTGGCGCGCTCCCGGGCCCCAATGGCTTCGGCGCGGCGCTCGATGAGGTCGGGTGTTGTCTGTGAGATCAGTCGAGATAGAGCTTGTCGTTGACGTGGTGAGCTGCACGCGCGCGCGCGCGCGTGTGTGCGTGAGAGCGTTTCCGGTCGGAGAGCCACCGGAGGAAGGAACGGCCGAGGATGCCGAAAGAACGGCAGGCAGGAAGTCGATTGGGTGTCAGCATCCCGCAGGCAGGCTGGGCACGGGTTCCCCCCTCCCCCCTCCCTCCCCCAAAGGGGCGCCCCGGAGCAGGGGGAAGAGCTAAAGAAAAGAAACAACCAGACGTGGCCGCCACAAACGCACCCTCCTCCTCGACAGTGTAGCCCGGCGCCAGGAAGGAGTCCTTCAGGAAGGCATCCCGGTGAATGGTGCACTGGGCCGAGACGACGCTGTTCTCCAGATTGACGCCGGTCTCGATGGTGACATGATCCATGACGATACTGTTGCGGATGGTCACCCCCTCGCCGATGTTGCAGTGGTTGCCGATGACCGAGTTGAAGACCCGGAAGCCGGAATTCTTGGCCGCAGTGGACAGCTCCTCCGAGGCCTTCAGATACTTCTCCATGCCGATGGGCAGGATGCTACGCCGGTGGATGTCCAAGTTCAGGCGGACATACGCCGAGAGGGTGGCCGCGCGGCGGCAGAACAGCGCCGTCCCGGTGGGCGACCGAATGCGCGAGAAGTCCACCACCGAGCAAACCACCCGCTGGGGGGGCTCCACAAAGTCCGTCTCCTGGGCAATGTCCCCGCTGTCGGCGGTCAGCTGGGAGAAGTCCGCCGCGCCGGCCGACTCGTCGGCCACCACATTCGGGCTCCCGACGGCGGTCTGTGGCCGGAAGGTCGGCACCGTGGACAGGGCCTTCGGCGCATACCGGCTGGAGTAGCTCAGCCACGGGGTGAAGGTCGAGGCGGGAATGAGGGCATTGACCCCGGCATAGGAACCGGAAAGGACCTTCTCGGCGTCCGTCAGGGTGGCCCCAGTCGGGCCGCCAGGCCCCGGGGTCCCATTGAACAGCTCGCTGGCGCTCTTGGTCGTGGAGGCCGGGCCGAGGGAGCGGTATTGGGCCTTCACCAGGAAGGGCACCAGATCGTACTGGATGGACCGGAGATGCTCATTGGCATCCAGCAGCTCGAGGACCCAGTTGCGGAAGACGTAGATATGCTGGTCCAGGACATTCCGGCGGATCTTGAGGGTGGGGAAGCTGTGCAGGCGGTGGCGGAGGTCAGGAAGGGGCGTTTGTCCGGAAGCGGACACAGCGAGGAGCAAGGGCGAGAGCTCGCGAGCCGATGGCCACACGCCCGGCGGGAGGGAGGACACACGCACTGGCGAAGCATGGCCATTCGAACATTGAGGCTGTCGAAGGTGTCCTCGACCGGCTGGTAGAAGAGCAGCCGATCACCGGACTCATTGGTCCCGAGGAAGAGGCCGCCATCAACATCGTCCTTGCTCGGCTCCGGGGTCATGGTGACAATGGTCATCGAGGAGTCGTGCTTCCGGTGGATGTCGAAGACCAAGTGGATGTCGAGGTTGGTGATGAGGTCGCAGCTGACAACAACAAAATCGCCCTGCATCAAGAGAGGGAAGGGGGGGGGGAGGAGGGGCACCCGGGAGGGGTGGCAATGCAGAAGAAAGGTGTAAGTGTCTGGACAGATGGAAGACCCGGAGGCAGGGCAGGGTGGGGACGCACGCGGATCTTGTCCTTCACCTCGCGCAGGGCATCGGCCGTGCCACCCTGCGCCTCGACAACACACAAATCCACCTTCCACCCGGGAGAGGCCTGGTGGAGGAACTCCGTGAACTTGGACGCGAAGCTCGGCTGGGTGATGAGCAGGATGTCTGGGGGAGGGGGGGGGGGACCAGGTGTCAGAACAAAGGGGTCATGTGTCCCCCGGACTCGAGGGCCCGGGCCCGAGCCCGAGCCGGGGTTGGCGAGAGGAAAGCACTGAAGACGCACCATCGCACGCCATCTCCGAGAAGTAGTCCAGCACATAGTGCAGCATCGGGCGGTTGGCGATGGGCAGCAGGGCCTTCGGTACGTCGCCCGACGACAGGGGGTCCAGCTTGGTGGCGTAGCCACCGGCCAGGATCACCACCTGGAATTCATTCTTGAAGGTCCGCAGCGACATGGTGGACGGACGCAGCGGAGGCAGGAGCAGGGGGCGAGAACGCGGGTGTGTATGTGCGTGTGTGTGTGTGTGTGTGGAGCCGGGAGAGGGGGAGCCGGGGGCACGAGAGAAAGGGGGGAGACAGAGAGAGAGAGAGAGGGAGCAGCGAGGACGAAAGAGAGCGGGGGCGGCAGAGGCAGGTGAGGGGGAGGGGAGCGCTAGCGCGGCCGACTTGACGACCAGCCACACTGCCCCGATCTTTTCTCAGGCGGACAGGCCCGGCAGGCGAAGGGAGGAGCCCGAAGCACAACGCCAACCGGACACGATGCCGCCCCACCGGCTGGCCTGTGTCTCCCGTGGGTCGAATCCCGGCCGTCCCCCGTGTCTCCCCTCGCCCGAGGGAGCCAGGTGCATGCGTTCCCCCCGCCCGCCCGCCCCCCCCCTCCCCCCTCCCCCCCGGCCCCCTCCACTGGGTGCCGTCGGCAGGAGGGCGTTCACGGGGTGGAAACGCGACTGCCCGCGGGCGCGTGATCCCCCAGAGCGTGACACCCTCGGAGGGTATAATGTGCCAACTCACTTGTCGGTCGGTCATGCCCCTCTCGCGCCGGGCTGATGGAAATTACACTGGCCGATTTCTCCGGCCAACGGCCCCCCCCCTGTCCGCCGGCCCCCCAACACGCCGGCCGCGGTGTGCGTCGCGAGGGATTACACTGGGCCCGGGGCGTGGCCGAATGTTGGGTGTGAAAAATAACAAACACCCGGCCGACCGACACGGGCAGCGTGAAATGCCGCCAGCGGAGGACAAGCATGAGGCGCCTGTGCGCGAATGGTCTAGCGGAGGCCCGGTGGCGGCAGGCCAAGCTAGCAACCTCTCCCCGGCTCGCCACGAACCGACAGGGCGGCGCACGGGCTGAGGAAAGGGGGGGGGCGGGGGGGGGCGGCCGTGTCGGCGCAGAGGGGCGGGTGTTCGCCAGGTCGCTCACCTGGGGTCGCTCGTGACCCCCCGCGCCATCCTGCCCCATCCCCTCGCCCCGGCGCCGGGCGCGAGAGCGCGATTTTCTTGGCAACGCGCCCAGCCACCGAGTGGCGGCGGCCCCCGAGAGCAGCCCCCCCCAGGGCCTCGGGCAGGGGAGGGGGTGTCATCTTGCTCAGGGATGGGGGGGGGGGTGCAGAGGTGGCTTCTCTGAGCCGAAGCCATGACACATTCGGGGCGGACGAGAAGCTCGCCCTTGGCCGCCGGGCTAACACAAGCATCCATCCCGAGGTCAGCCTCCTCGCCATGGAGACCCGCTGGGGTGTATATGGGCTGGCACGGCACAACAACAGACACCCGACGTCTCGCCACACCCCAGACGAGAGAGAGAGAGCCATCCAGCCCTCCTTCAATCTTTTCCCCCTTCCTCCCTTTCCCCACCATGTGTACGTCCACCCTCCCCCCCCCCCCACACACACACACACACGCACGCACGCACGCGCATCTGACGCACTCGTGCCCCCCTCCCCTCGCCCGGCCCCCATGCAGCCGTCTCTCTTGCCCTCGAGCGCGAGGCCGCCATCAAGGCCGTCGCCGCCGCGTCCCGCCTCTGCCAGGGTGTCTTCAAGAAGCTGATCGCCGATGCGGCTTCTCGCGACTCGGCCACCCAGACCAAGGCCGACCAGTCCCCGGTCACTGTGGCCGACTACGGCGCCCAGGCGGTCATGTGTGCTCTCATCGCCCGCGACTTCCCCAACGACCTGATCGTCGGCGAGGAGGACTCCAAGGACCTGGCCTCGGATGAGGCCCAGCCCATGCGCACCCTGCTGCTGGACCTGGTCAACACCGTCCTCGAGCCGAAGATCACCGAGTCGGAGGTGCGCGCACTGCCTCCCGTTGCCTTCCTTTTCTTTTTTTCTTTTTCCGGCTCTCCCCACACCCCTCTGCCTCTTTCCCGAGCCCCACACCCATGCTTTCACACATGCCCATCGGCGGAGCCCTGCTCGCTGCGAGGGGGCATGCTGCGTGGCCGGCGAATGCTGACCCTCCTCCCTGCATGTGCATGGCCATGCTCAGCTCCTTGCCTTCATCGACCGTGGCAACCATACTGGCGGCTCTACCGGGCGCTTCTGGACCATGGACCCCATCGACGGCACCAAGGGCTTCCTCCGTGGCGAGCAGTTTGCCGTTTGCCTGGCTCTGGTGGACGAGGGTCAGGTCCGCCTCGGTGTCATGGGCTGCCCGAACCTGCCCCTCGGTGATGGGTCCGGCCAGCTGGGCACCATGCAGGTGGCCGTCGCCGGGCAGGGCGCCTTCGAGCTGCCGCTCTTCCCGGCCGACGGGGCCCAGGTCACCGAGCGCCAGATCCACGCCGCCGCTCCGGCCGGCACTCCCCTGCGCTTTGTCGAGTCGGTGGAGGCCGCCCACTCGGACCACTCGGACTCCGGCCGCGTGGCCAAGATGCTGGACATCACCGCCGACCCGGTTCGCATGGACTCCCAGGCCAAGTATGCCTCGGTGGCCCGCGGCGATGCGGCCATCTACCTGCGTCTGCCCACTCGCGCCGGGTACGAGGAGAAGATCTGGGATCACGCCAGTGGCCGGCTCATCGTGGCCGAGGCTGGCGGCCAGGTGACCGACGTCCGCGGCCATGCGCTGGACTTCGGCCAGGGCCGCACCCTCAAGAACAACATCGGTGTCATTGCCACCAGCTCCCCGGAGCTCCAGGAGAAGACCGTCGCCGCCGTGATGGAGGTCCTCAAGCCGAAGAACCTCTGGTGAATGCGCGCCCCCGCGTCACACCACCGGGCCAAAGGCCAAAAAAGCATCCCCCGCTCCCTCTCCTCCCTTCTCCCCTTGTGTCAGCCATTTTCCCCTCTTGAGTGTAAAAAAATAACATGCATTGCTGCATCGCGCCCTCTCTTCCATTGGGAACGCCTTTGGCCGGGCTTCTTGTCTCTGTGCCTGTTCACAAGGCACTATTCTATTGTACAAAGGGGGGAGAGGGGGAATGCAGAGGGAGGGGGAGAGAGAGAGAGAGAGGCACTCCGAGATGGCGTGCTTTTTGGTTGCTTGCATTTTTTTCCTTCACAGCCATGCTCTACAGGGCAGTCGCGACGGCAGCGTCCGGCTCGGAACTGAGGAACAGCCGGCGCGCAATCAGCAGGACAAACAGCCCGGTGAGGACAATGAGAATCCGATCAAGCTGAGAGACGGAGCTTGTCCGGCTGGCCGACTTCTGGCCGAGGCTCTTGACGTCGAGACGCTCAGCAGGCCCGGCCGAGCGGTCGACTTCCGGGGCAGACCCTTCTGGCGAGGAAGGCCCCTCCTCTGTCCGCGCGTCATCCTGGAGGCCGGGGGCTGGCCGCGTGGTGGCACCCCCAACATCGGGCGCGGTAGGGATGCTTCGAACCGTGGAGGCGGCCGATCCGGCCGAGGCCCTCTGTGCGGCAGCCTCGGCCGGGGCGGCGCCCTCCACCGGGGAGGCAGCATTGCCCGGCTCCATGGCCTCGCCCGACAGCGAAGGGGTCTCGCGACCTTGCTTGGCCAATGATGTCGGAGACTCGGCCGGGAGCGACGGTGCCTCGGCCACCGTGGCCGGTGACCCGGACTCCAGTTGATCCGTGCTCTCGTCGAGGATGACCGTCGGCGAGTTGACGATGCTCGTGCTGGCACTGTCGGCCATGGCCGAGATCTCGATCGGGGCTTCGGCAGCGGTGGTGGGGGTGCCGACGTCGGGGTCGGTGCTGGTGCCGGCATCGGGGGCCGGAGCGCTGGGCAAGGCATGGGGGATGTCCAGGTCGCCAATGCGACCGCACTCCTTGCATACAAAGTCATGCGACCTGGGCAGGGAACACAAGGGCCGGCAGGAACAGGGCAGTCCGGTGAGTGGGGTGTCGATTGGGAAGGTGCCCCAAGCGGGTGAAGAGGGAGGACGGGAGGGAGAAGGAAAGGGGAGGGGGGAAGAGGGTGATAAAGAAAAAAGCAAGTCACACGCACTTGATGGCCAAGAGCTTTCGCTCCTCGGCAGACACCTCAAGTGCCCCGATGGCCCCCTCACTCGGGGACAACATATGGCTCATCATGCTCAAACACACCGTGCGAACTGCGGGGTCGAGGAGGCGAGGGGGCGAGGAGGAGGGAGAGCGACAAGATAAAGCAACGGTTAGTGGAATTCGGTGACAAAAGAAAGGGACACCATGATCAGGATGTGCCGCCTCTGCGGCATGTGCATCCATACAGGGGGGGGGCGAGCGTGCGAGTGTGCATGCGGTCATGACGCACTGTCCCAGGCAGGTTGCCAATCCTCCCGGTGGTGCGTGGTGACACTCAGGCAAATTTTGGTGTTGACCTCGAAGCGGCCGGAGGGCTGACACAGAAAGAAAAAGATCAAACGCCAGAGGGGGGCGACGAAGGGAAGAAAAAGACGCGTGGGGTGGGGGGGGGGGGAGGGAGAGAAAGGAGAGAAGAGGACAGGAGTCAGCCGCAGTCAACATCCCGGGCTCGAACCGGGGGAGGAGAGGGGAGGGAGAAGTGAAGCAGCCGGCGCCAACAACGCACTGTCAGGAAGATGATGCTCGGTGGCTCCATCGGGTACTGGGGCGGGAGGAGGATCCGCCCGTGATACAGGCCCCCGGCGTATGGCGAGTCGACCGGGCCGCGCAGGGTAAAGTGCCAGTCCAGGAGATTTTGCCCGTCATTGACCGGCGCACAGACAAATCCATGTGGCGGATCGCGCCGGAGTTGGCTGATCTCCTGCAGCAGACGGCGTATTACTGGAGACGGGGAGCCGGAGTCAGGACGCATTGTGGGACCGATCGGCGGGGAGATCCAGCGGAGGGAGGAGAGGGCGG